GGTGTAGGGGTTTGGCACCACTGGTTGAAAAGGAGTAACTGCATTATTAATGACCCTGAGATCTTGAACTAACTTATAGGAGCCACTAGGTTTGAGTACAAGAAAAATGGGAGTATTATACAGTGAATAGGGACTGGAAGTGTCCCAGAGTATGTGGTCAGCAAGGGAATAAGGAGGGAGGAGCTGGATATGTACTGAAGTTGGGTTTGTAGGACCTGCACTGTGGGGGGAGAGAGAAGTGAAAGAAAAGTAGAACTTTGTGAGGAGATCTGTCCCCATGAGAGGTGTGGGGCAGGTTGGGCTCACAAGGAACTTATGAGTGAAGAACAGTATGTGGAGTCAGCAGGGAATGGGCCGTGTCTGAAGGGATCATGTACGTCGGCCATCAACACCGACTATGGAGACTGTAGATCTAATTCAACAACCTGAAAACTCAGAAGAACACTATGTGACCTCTGTGTCAACAGAAAAAAGTGTCCTACCTGAGATGTCCAACAAGACTCAGGGCTCTGACAAAGATACCTCAGTGGGGACCATGGACCCCAAGCCCATCATTCCTCTTCAGTGGCAAGATCAAGCAGGTCAAGTATTGATGGATCTAGCTGCAGTAAGTTCTCCTGTGAGGGCAGGGAATTGGATGACTTACCTTCTCTCTGGAGGATAGGGCAATCAATTTCCAGTGACCCTCAAGCTTGTAGATGGAACCAGGACCCTATGGTGGCAGCAAGTTGGGGCAGGCTCATGCCCAGTGTCCTTCTTCACCACACTTGAAACATGGTCCAGGATAGTATCGGGTGGCAACATCGTTTAGGCTCAGGATTAATTAATTTTTTTGAACAACTTTATCTTTTAACCAATGACCAAATTATTGGGAGTGTCTTCTAAGAGACTATGGAGATTTTTGGTGGTCTCCTTACTAAGGGACAAAGGTTGGCCACCTTTCTATCCACCCATTGAAGTTCTGTCCAATAATCTCTCCCCATTTTAATTTTTTGTTTAAATTTGTTAAAAATTTTGATGACCTATGAGTAAACCAACTTTGATATCATTTAGACCAGCTGGTAACTCAGGAGAAAGCATGTTTTTAAGTCTATTTCAAATCTCAAAAAGAGTAACAACTGTTCATGAAATGACATGCAAACATATAAACAAATGCATAGAACACACAAATGAACATCTTTAGAAACATCAAATATTTTTTTTTATTTTTAAAATTGTTATATAACAAATTTTTCACGCATATATTTCTGGCCAGATTAAATTATAATAACCCTTTTTAAGTTTGTAGTTATAAAAAAAAACTAGTCAGAACTTTTGTAGGTCACCTAGAGATCGCTTACAAGAAGAATTTGAAAAGCATAAAAGCCTCTTATGTATAGTTAAGGTGGTCTTTTTTTTTTAGGTCTAATACTATGTACCAAGTTTGAATGGGAACAAGTAAACTGAGAAGAGTATAAGAATTAGGCACAGCACAGTAGAAGAGCACTGACAACTCACAAGTTCTGGACTTTAAGGCTGGCAAGTAGGGTATATATCTGACTCAAGTAGTCTTTGAATATGCTTTGACTCAGAATCTCTTTCTTGTGGCCACAACAGGAGACCACCTGTCGAAGTGGCTGAGAAGAGAGGGGAACAGCAAGCTCAATAGGAAAGGGCAGGATAAATAATGGCCCATGAGAGGGAAGGGGCCCACGCTGCTGGGGAAGAATGTGCCATTAGCTGTTCCAGATCATGCTTTGTCCCTAAGTGAGAAACTTGGAGGAAAAAGAGACTGTGGATGCAAGTTGGCAGGAGAGGATAGATAAGAATACAGGACTGACCAGCACAGGCAGGTGAGAGAAACGTGGAGGAGGGGGTAAAGGCAGAGAGAAGCGGGGAGTTGAGAGCTTCAGAAAGTGAAGTGGTGCTGGCATAGCAAATGGTGGTGGCTGAGTGGCGGCAGTGGTGGCAGCGGCTCCACAGGGTATGGAGGCATTTGATTTAATTTAGAGAGGAGGCTGGGTGGCTTGTGGGCGCTGGGGATAGGGGTGTGTCTTTAGAGTCAAGAAAGGCTTTTAAGGGATTTTTGGCCATTTGCTTTCCCAGTACTAGGAGTTTTAAGGGGTTAAACGTTTTTCCTTCAGGCCATTGGCTGCCATTGTTGAGTTTATATTTTCGCCAAGCCATCTGGCAGTAAAGGTTAACTTTTTGGGTTTTGTGACCTCCTAAGGGCCAAGTGAGCCAAGATTATGAATAAGGCATCTCAGTGGGGTGTCTTTGGGGGGTTGGGAATGAATATTTCCCACGGTGACCAAATTAGGGTGAGCAAAAGATTAGGGCAAAGCTTGACTTCACCCATTAGAAAGTTGTACACTTTCTAACCCAGAGTGAGTGAGAGAGAAAAAAAAGCCAACATCTGTTTTTGTGACTGTTGTCAACAAAAACAGGGGGCAAGGCCCAAACAGATGTTGAAGAGGGGTCCTGACATGAGCTCACAGTTTTTGAGATGAAGAGAGACATAGAATAAGCAAGATCCCCCATAGAGATGAGTTTGGGCACATTAGTGAGAATTGAGATTGGCTGGTGTTGGATGCCAACTAGTACCAGCAGGCAGCAGAAGCAGGAGCAGAAAGTGGCTTCGCGAGGAGCTCAAAATCAGGGCAGGGGATGCCCGGAGAGCCACATGACTCACCATCTGATTCACAGCACCAAAATGTTAGGTTTTTCAGTGGCACAGTACAGATATAGGAAAAATAAAAGAGGCCTTTATTGACTTTAAGCGACATGGAGAGACTCCTAGGGAAGATGCAGGGGACAATCCTCTGACCTGAGACAAAGAAAGCTGAGACTTCTATGGGCTTTTGCTGCGGGTGGAGGGGCAGTTTCAGTTACACGTAAGGAGCTGAGTGAGGTCTCTCCTGTGTGTGCGGGAAATGTGAGAGGAAATTGTACCAGGCTGGGTGGGGGGGGGAGGAGGAAGTGGACACTGGGAAGATAAGCTGTTGTTTTAGGGCTTCAGCCATGTTAGGTGACCACCATAGTAATTTAGCAACTCATCCTAGGGCCAGAACCTATGAAAAATGCGGTGTGTGTTTTCCAAAGGAGTAGACGTAGTATTTACAAGCAATACCCAGTAGATGCTGCATTTAAAGAACAATTAAGACTTTAATTGATCATCATTTCAGGTTACCTACATTGTTTTCAAATATGAAAACAATCCTTTGTTTTAAAAAAAAAAAAAAAGAAATTTAAAAATGGGCCTGGTGGCACATGCCTGTAATCTCAGTACTGGGGAGACTAACGCAGGAAGATTCCTGCAAGTTCAAGGTCTACCTGGGCTAAACAGGTCAGCCTGAAGTGCATAGCAGGTGTCATCTCAAAAAATAACAAATTTTTTTTAAAAAAATACAACAAAAAAATTTGATCACCTAGAATTAGCATACTTTTTAAAAATGTATTTATTACAGGGTCTGCAGGGTCTACAAGTTCGCACTAAACAGATTGGACTCGTAGTGATCCTCCTGTCTTTTAGCCTCCCAAGCACTGGGATTACAGGCATGCCACCACGTCCAGTCTCAATTGCTGTTTCAGCATGCCTTGGGGGCAGGGATAGCACAGCACACCAGGGACTGAACCCAGTCCCTGTGTCTGCCTGAGCAGGCGTTTTAATCCATAGAATTAGTGTACTTCTCAGCCTTCCCTCGGTAAGATCACTGGTTGGAGATTTCTAGTGAAGCTAGCAGTGCCTTAAATAGGAAATAAGTTAGATTGGCCCCCTATCAGGCTTGGGGACCAAGTTCCCACATCACTTGTGAGCCCAGGGCTCCTCTAAGCCTCCTCTGGAAGAACTTCGATGTTTTTCCTTTTCCTCTGACAAATGTCTTTGAACAATAGGCCAGGACAGTAGACTGGTATACAATCTAGAGAGAAATTGTCTCTCCTTTGGGAAATTGCTTTTGGAAGATATTTAAGTACTTCTGAGAAAATAAAGCAATGCCTTTTGGAGGCTAAATCTAATTTTCCCAGAAGCACAGTAACTGAAACAAACCAAATTTAGACTAGCCGTTGAATGAGTATAAATTCAAGCAGAACATTTTGCTTCTTTCAAGCTGGACCTATGCATAGATGTGACTGTTTCCTATGTTGTATAAACTCTCTTTGAATTTCAATATTCGATGCAGATTTAATTTATTAAAACTCAAAACACTAACCAAATTGTTTTAAAATCAAAAAATTTGTCTTCTTGAAACATACTATACCTCTGGAAACTCATTTCCATTCAGAGTTCCACATAGTTCAGTAACAGTTTTTCCTATCTGTGAGCATTCCAATCTAGAGAGGACTCTTTCAGTTGATTTATGATTTTATCATCTGCAGAGCAAGTTCTGGTATATTTCTGTATTCTCAAATGATTCACAGACTCTGAACATGTGAATGTGGGCAATTCTTATGACTTACCCCCTTCAATTTCCCCTTGATGTTTGCTTCTTTGTTTATTTGTTTGAGATAGAATCTCTATCCAGTTTAGGCTCACTATGCAGCTCAGGATGGCCTTGGATTCACCCGACCCTCCTGCCTCAGCCTCCAGAGCGCTGGGATTTCAAGTGTGTGCCCTTGGGTTTATGATGTCTTTCTCTCTTTTCTTCAAGACTGACTGGGTCTAGGTATTATTGGATCAAAGGTCAGGAATTCAGGGCTGTTGGGGACCATTGAATTCTCTTTTCCCCTGGGCTGCCTGGAACCCTCATTACAGTCAGTCCCACAACGTCACCATCGATCCTACCAACCAGCTTTTCCTCAGTCCCAGGCACAGCACTATCTGTCTCATTGGCTCCACCCATGCAGGAGATGGGGCATATTTGATAAATTCTATACAGAAAAGCTGAGTTTTAGAGGGAGGAGGACCATCTGCTACAAGCAATGGGGGTGTCTCCCCGGCCCAGACGCAGGGCCTTGCTTTAAGGCTAACAGCGTGAAGGTGAAAGGTTCCACAGTGACAGTCCCATCTCTTCCTTTCCTAGGAACCAAGGAAATTGTTGTAGATGTGGATGACGATGGGGTCATCTCATTGAACTTTGAATGTGATCAGATGACTCCAAATTCAGAATTCACCTGGTCCAAAGACTACGTGCGCACTGAGGACTCCTCCCGGTTAGAAGTTGAAAGCAAAGGCAACAAGTAAGGATGTTCCCACTGTGGCGATGGGCTTCCTGTCCCTGCAGGAGCAGGAAGCGAGCTCACTGCTTTCTACTTGAATTACCAGGGAGAAGTGGATTAAGTCATACATATCTTATGTCCAGTACTGGAAAAGTCAAAACCAATATAAAATTTAGAAGTAATAATCCCAAAATATCTTCCAAGGTTTTTGAAGCAAAACTCTTTTGGTCAGAGAGAGAGAAAGAGAGAGAGAGACACAGAGAGAGAGAGAGAATGTCAAATGATAGATTTTTTTCCCTAGTATTTTTTGCACTTAAAATTTAGATGTTTGATTGCTCTTAGCCATCAACTAGTGTGACAATGCTTACCAAAGCCGGGGAGCACAGCGAGCAGGAGCACTGCCCTGTTCACATATGCGTTCCACACAGGATGTGCCAGACAGTGCTGGGTGCCAGGGACACAGCAGGAAATAGATCGTGTCTCGGAAGACGCTGAGATGATACAATATCAGTGCTGTGTAGGACATTCAAAGAAGGGAAGAACAGGCAGCGATGCAGGCAAGGCACATTATGGTCTGTGCGAGAAAAATGGAGCCTCTCCAGCCAGGGCTAATGTGCAGAACATCTTTATGCACAATGTACAGTAGGCAAAAATGTAGAAGCATTGGAACAGGACAGTGGTGCCAGCACCCACCGTGTCACCGTCAGCCCTTGGGAGAGCACAAAGGTCCCCCTAATGCAATGGCATTTAACTTGAGCGTGAGCTGAGGCACCTCGTGCAGATACCTAGAGACCCAGCACAACCATGTTTAAGAAAGATATTTTGTTCCAAAGGACAAAGATGACCTTCAAAGACCTTGGGATGGATGACTTGGGCATCTACTCTTGCGATGTAACAGACACCGATGGAATAGCATCAAGCTACCTAATAGATGAGGATGGTAAGTTTGAAATCAGTTCGCTCACAAACTGAATGTCGCCTTCATGTCTCCATCATTTGCAAGTGACCTTTGTTCACTAGTTTATGGTTTCACTGTTTTCTGCTTCTCCCTACAGAAATGAAACGTTTACTTGCGCTCAGCCAGGAACACAAGTTCCCAAGTAAGTGTCTGCACCGCTTCCACCGCTTTGAGCAGTCTGGCTAGAGGGCAGCTTCTGCACTCAATCAGACGATAGCGTGGCAGGGTTAGCAGGAGCGGACTCGAGCATGCGGTTGGTGGCTGGTCCGTAGCAGCAGGAGCACATTCTGGGAGCAATGCTGTTTGCTTTGCCAGAGAAACCAAGACACATTAAAAATACACCCATACTTTGTCATACAGAGAAATGTCGGGTGCAGAGGTGTAACTTCTGGGTGGTTACATCCTTCACTTTTACCTGTACGCTTTAAAATCACACGTCTAAGACTGGCAAGATAGCTCAGCAGACTAAGTGCCTTCCTGGCAAGCTCAGGGACTTTCGCTCGATCCCCAACACCGCATATCATGCTGGCCCCGCCCCCGGGTGTGCTAAGCCAGCCACCCAGACTGGGCATGGTGGCACACTCTCCTGTAATCCCAGTGCTGCGGAGGTTGAAAAACGGGAGGATCACTACAAGTGTGAGCTGCATAGTGAGACCCTATACCAAATACCTAATAAGTAAATAAATAAATAAAATCACATATCTATCATAGGGGTTTATTCATTTATGTATCAAACTGATTTCTTCCTGAATGATGGTGGCACTTAGTAGTAGACTCAGACCTCTAAATAAAAACCTTCTAAGCCCTGGACCTATCACCTCAAATTCCTACAAAATAGGGCAAAGTGCCTTGGCCAGAAAAAGAATCTTTCTGAACT